AATAGTTACATGACTCGTTCCCGCGGTATTTCAATCATCACTTTTTTATAGATTTGCTTCTGGTGAATGATGTAAAACAAATGGTTTTATTATAGATAAATCTTATTTTTATATCATTTGCTGCCAAACATTTTTGTAAACCGAGGTTTATTACGCGTTCATTGGTTTTTGGATAATTAATATTGATTCATTTACTTGTTTACTTTATTTGCTTCATCTGAAAGAGACTAACCATTACCACCACCACTAACAGTGACGATATTGTAAAAAATATTTAAAAATGCATCTTAAAACATGAAATCTAGCAACGTACTAGGGTTTTTATATTGATGATCCTGTTTTTATGCAACTGGTACTTTTGGTACTGTAGCTGACAACTTCAAATCTTTTTTTTTTAATTATTGTTACATCAGCAATCAGAACTCTACTTTAAATTCAAATCTGATGGAATTATTTCTCGGTTTATTTGGATTTTGTAATAATAAGGTACAAGCTGAATACAACCTATTTCGCAATGATATCTTCTTCGCATTAAGTTGAATAAATGCTTAAGATAATTCTTAAATACATGCTTAAGATGATTCTATAATTCTTGCATTTAAGTGCAACGGTTATTAGATAAAGTTCGCTCAATGGCAGATCTATATGTCATGTACATTCTCTTATTCTCAATGTGAGAAACGGATTCATATAGTTAATTCAACTAATCTCATACTGCCGCACCTTTACCTCATTCAGCATTTTGCTTCATCTGGTTGCTGTTTTATATACATTTTATTCTTTTTTCTTCTTTTTCTTAACAGCAATCAGAATCTTACGTCCTGGACTGAAGCTTTTCCTTACTTCGTGTTTTTAGATGGTAATCCAGTGGTTAACCAATCAAATTTGATGATTATATCATCAGAATTAATCTAATAGGGCTGACTTAATTGGTGCAGCAATGTCGGACGAGACAAAGGCTATTTTTATTTGGAAACATATTGCTATCTATATTTTCAAGTAAAAACCATTGTGACTGCTGCTTGACAACAGGCTGCTCGAAGCGGGTCTCGAACCCGGTACCTCTGAATCAAGTCTTGTCGCTCTTAAGCGCTTACTTTACTTAATACATTTTCTTCAAACCAATTTTTTTTTTAAAACACAAATTAGGTTTGGCTGCCCCTACAATGATTTTGATAGATTGGAAGAGTTGTAAGTCATGAACATTTTTTTTATTCCTATACGAGAATTGGGTTTCTACTAGAAACTTTCTAGTCTCTGCTCTAACTGCCGCGTCTTTTACCTGAAAATTTAACTTCAACTGCTCGAAATAAATCTATTATTAATTGTTCTTAGTAATTTTTGGTGAAGTTGTCTGGAAAGTTCTTCGTTAATCAACGATCAAGTTTTCTTATGGTCTATAAACGAACATCTATTGGATTCAGCTTTCTGTATTTTGTATTCTTTCATCTGGATGGTTCTACATATATTATTTCAAAATCAACAATATTTTATTTAAACATACCATAAATTGGTACCGCTGGTCTCTATTGAATATGCATAGGGACCGAGATATTGAAATAAAATATTAAAAAAATTATCTGTATAACACTGTATACCATGGTGTGTCTGACTTCTCCATGGGTACAATAAAATTGTGATAACAAAGTATTAAAGTATTGTCATAAGTATAAAAATATCTCTATAAATTTCATTAGGAAATATATTCTGATCTATTATCACAAGTGAAAATAAATATCACTACCGCTTGATATCAGGTTGCACGCAAAGCAGGATTTAAAAAATCGTGTCACATTCATAACAAGGGAAGTACGTGGGGTCAAAGATTAGAGCCTTCGCTCTGTTTTCATGAAGTTTCCAATTCCAATGTCTATGCTATGAACAAGAACAAATAATTCTTCAATCGTTACATCAAGCAGTAGTGATATCAGTTCTTACTTGAAAATTTATTACCTACATATGTTTCCAAGTGAAGAGAGCATCTTGATTCATTGCTGCAATATGCATCAAATATATATATATATAAATATATATCAAATTTTACCACAAAGAGGTAACACAACTATTGGGTTGCATTGTATGAAACTTATCACGTGGCAGTTAGTAAAACATTAAGAATAGTTCTGATTGCTGTTCAAAAACAAACAAAAAATATTAAAAACAAAATGCCTCTAATCACTTCATTTTCGATTACAATAATCATAAATAAACTTATAAAAATAAATTATGGCAAAATGTATTTGTAAAAACAATAAGCTCTTATAAAAATATATGGTTGAGATAAGAAGTAATAACTTAAGAATTATTTATTAACAGCGTTGTTGCTGATTCGCATTGTTCAAAGTTCATATTTTTCATTGCATTTCTCATTGAATATAAATATATGCAAACTGCATTTGGCTATGCAAATAGTTCTTCAATCGTTGTGGAATGGTAATATTCTGATAACTTTACCAACATGGAAAAATCACTTTTACCATAGTCATTAAAAGGTATAAAGTGGCTACTGTTATAAATTAAAAATAACGTATTTAGGTATTTACAATTTTTTAATACATATATAAAAAAAAATCATGTATCCATGTCATGCCCCACAGAAACGTCTTGAACAATTTTTAACTTCCCGTAGGGTAGTTATAGTAATCGCAAAAAAATCGAAAATGAAAATTTTTGCATTTCTCGACGTTTCAAAGGATTCTGAATATTTTGGCGCGTGCGTGTGTTTGTTCAGATACAAATTTTCGTCGACGATTTCGAGAACACCGATCAACCTATTTAAATAATTTAAAAAACATTGGATTCGTACTGATAAGGAGACGTGCTGATTAGATTTTGTTGGAGGCAGGTCTAGCCGTTCCGAAGATACGGGAAAAAAGTGCCAAAAACGGTAACACGGTTTTAAAAGAACAGAGCGTCCGATTTTAAAAATTCAAAAAACATTTTACTTGTATTGACAAGATGAAAAAGTGATCAAATTTCATTAAGGCAGGTCTAGCGGTTTCGGAGATCTATTGAAAAAAGTAAAACAAAAAGGCATTTGGCGGTCAAAAATGATCATTAGACATATGAACATCAAATTATCAGATATTTTATAGAGATTTTCACAATAAGTATGAATTTTGTTTACATTCCTATGGGTTCCGTACCTATGTTTATCCGTTAGACGGCGACGCGGCGCTTACGCGCTTTGACATTTCGCCTCTATGCTGTTAAAGCAGTACGATTGCTTTGAAAAAAAGTTCAGAATTTCCAAACTATGCCAAAATAAAGAAAACTTTTTTTTTCAAACAATTTTTTTTTGTTTCTCAAAAATCTAATTTTTTCGAAGTAAATTTTTTTCAAAAATGTTAATCGCTTTTAAAAAAATAATAATTATTGGTACGGGAAGTTCCAGCAATTTGCCTTAAGGCACGATGCCTTAATTGCTTTAAGACAGAATTCCACTTATAGTTTATAATATCTTATACATATTCATATGTAAGTGGTAATCGTTAGAATCGTTAAAGATTTGTTAAGAGTGTATATCGACATTTTTTATTTGTAATGATTTTAATATAATTTTTCATTTTAATGATATTTGATATTTCGAGTTGAAATTGGTTTTAAAATTTAGCTCTTAAATTTTTTACGTTTATTTTTGCTGGGTTTATTTATCTGTTTTCTCAAACAATAGTATCATAAGTTTTTAGCTAATCTAATTATAAGATTTGTCAAACAAGTTTAGGTCAAAGTACTATGTAGGAATTCCGTAAACTTTGCCAAATCTATTTAAAGTTCTGTCAATAAATTTTGACATTCAAACAAGATTGCGCGCGGTTGTAAATTTTTGTATAAATACAAATACGTGGTTATGTAGTGTAAACACATAAAAAAGTAATAATCAACCACGAAGGAATAATCTTTTATTTATTTATTATTTTTTATGATTATTGGGCACATATTATATATGTGAATACATATTACTATTTAATTCGAATCCTGATTATTATTTGAATAGCAATCATAATTGAATTCAATGTGCTAAATGCAGGGATGCATTTTATTCTACCTACAGCCCAATTGGGGTCTTTTTTCTTTAAAAAGAATTTTGTACTCTACATTGTTACTTTATGAAATTATATTTTTTTATAGTTTTATGTTTGATGTGTAACCTGTGAACTTTTTTTTACTGTGCTCCAATTTGCATGATATTTTGAAATCTCTTAAACAAAGTTAGATGACTATGTCTCTAGATGAATTCTAACTATATTTCGATAATCACAACATCCTAGAAAATTCCCTTAACAAACTTCAAGAAGATTTATCAAAATCCGAATAATCGTTTAGGAGGAGTATCCTTTCATAGATCATTACAGAACAATTTTATATAAAAGATATATATGATGATAGTTTTGTAATTTGTATATTTCTTCTCTGTTTCTCTTTCCCCTTTTCTTTCTCACAACTCGCTCCCACTCCTTCACTACACTTGCGTGACTACACTTTCGTTGTAACCTTGATCAGTGTCCATAATGCACCGCTATTAATAACATAAAATATAGAATGGCAATATGTGATCTTTCAATTTCTTGTTTGTTAATATAATGGTATATTATTATTTTTAACTATATTTCTATAAACACAACATCCTAAAAAAAATCCCTTAACAAACTTCAAAAAGATTTATTAAGTTTAGGAGGAGGTATTCTTTCATACATTATTTCAGAAGATTTTTATATATAAGATATATATATATATATATATATATATATATATATATATAGATATAAATATTCATAAATCATTTTCTATCATAAATTACTTTAGGATAGTCACATTTTTTTGCTATGACGAATAGTGTTTTTTTATAAATATACGCATAATTTATAATGAACTTGTCAGACCGTTGGTTTCAGTGCCATATTTTAAGTAAACATTTGATAAGAAACTCTAGTAAGGTTAAAACTTTAGATAAAATAAAAATATTTCTTTCAGAAATAGTTTTTGTGATAACCATTGAAATGGTCATGGTTTTAATGGAAGAGTTTGGCAATCAAATATTTTTCTTTTTGAATAATTATGAGGTTTGTAGTTATAGCTTTTTTAGATTATATTAATGTAACTGTTTTAATAATAATATAGGTAATTAGATAAATATTATAAAAAAATCTGTCTAGATCTTGTGGCCTTCCAAACCTAATGTTCTTGGTTTCTCAGACAACCTTCTATAAAGCAGTATTGATGTTAGTTTTTTACTTCGAAAAATATTGTTCCAAGTGAAAAAGCATTTCTGGACATTGCTGCAACATTACAGTTAGATAGAACTTCTATTTTCTAACATCACTACTGCTCGATATAAGGTTGCCTGAGGAACAAAGAACTTTAGAGTTTGAAGGCCAAAAGCTCTTCCCATTGAGCTATAAACAAACATACATTAATTTATACAATTTTTTTAAATATTTAACTAATTAACTAAATATTATTATTAAAACAGTTAACAGTTACACATTAATTCATTAATATAATCGAATAAAGCTCTTCTACTAAATCCAAACTCTTCTACTAAAACCATAATCAGGAACAATTGATTGTGTTTTTGTATATATGGCTGATGTAGGGCTCAATTTTTTTTTTCTCAAAAAAACATTACTTAATAGCAAAATAATAATTCTTGGTCATGTTCGCGGAAGGAAAAGAGAGATTCAATTTCAGTCAAAAAGTTAAAATATGCTCTATATAAAGCCCTAACATTTTTTACTAAGCAATTTAATTTTACTATCATCGTTTTCTCCATAGCCTTGGTTATTATTAGTCAAATTCATTAGTCATCAAAAATGTTTACAAAAAATTTCCACTAAACTTATTGTAAATAAATATCTCCTTATGTTTCAATGAAACAGTATGTGATATGTTCCATAACACTCATTAATTAATCTTTGTCATTTGATATACTTTCAACTTTCGTGGAAATATGAGACTTTTAACAACTATACTTTTCAGTTTATAGATGTCGTCATTGCCATTTTAAATATAAATATGAATTATTGTGCGTTGTGATATATGGATTTGTTTACACGGCTTGATCATGAATTTGTGGGATTTATGTCTAATGAAGTCTACTTTTGCAAATACTAGACCATACTAGACCTAGTTCGATAATAAAATTATAATTACCCATGAAATATCTGAATCAGGTGTATCATTATCAGATAATCTGATAATGTTATATACAACATTTTAGGGTTTTCACGGGTTTGAAAATGATTTTATTGCAAGGTAAATGTATTAATAAATTCTTTTTGTAGCGATAAAATGGCTCAATGTCTACTTATTTATTAAGGGGTCGCAACCCTCACTTTTGAACAATATGAACCTAATTCCAAAATTTTATGCAAATTGGAGCACAGTAAAGAAAAATTAGAGGTTATACCCTTTTTTTCCTCTATTTACTGCTCTATATATACGTTGTGAAATTCAAATATTCAAAGGCGGGCTAATATAGCCAAGATATTATAAAATATAATCGGATAATAAAATTCTTACTAAAAGTTAGTAATTTTGATAAAAAAAGATTTATTTAAACACACATGATTTTTTATTGCATCCTTAAATAGTATTTCTATTTTTAAATCATATCTAAATTATTTAGCATGAAGAACATTACGTCCCGGGTTTGACCTGGTCACCTTAGTGCAAGTTACTGCCCATTAGGTTCTTATCCAATCAATTATTGACCTGTTATTCAGTTGGGTTGAGTTCAAGGAATCTAATTTCATTATTCTGTATCTTTGAAGTAATATTTTTGTATTTTCTTGAAAATACACAATGGCATTATTTTGACTTGTATACCTAAAATGTCATAAAACTGCCTGTGAGACGAGAAAGCGACCGCTTCCTTCCCAAAGCAAAAACGCCAAAAAACATTAAATGTCTGCAGGAGTCAACAGGTTTAATACCAGTTTAGGAAAGTCGGATATGACAAAATCTCCGACACAACTCCGCTCGGATTAACTCCGTGGGAGGAGTTGTATCGGAGTGATAACTCCGGAGTGAGTTAACCATCTCTAGGCACTAACAAAATATTTAATTTAAATAATGTTAATTTCCTTTTAAAAACCATAAATTCCAAAATTGTTTTTGTATATTGATACGTGTGTTTAACTAAACATAAATTGTTGTGGTTAAATAATGAATTCGCGTGTATGCAATAAATTATAGTAACAAAGAATTATTTTTGCCACGTGCAGTTTGGCTTGTACTTGCATGCACCAATTTAGCATCTTGATTGATTTTGTTTTGATCTTCAATTTGCTTATTCATTAGGCATGTCTTGATCTAGTTAGTTATTCATTTGCTGACAATCGACAAACATAAATAGAAATAGGATAGGGCGGGGCACAGAGGTCCAATTTGACTTTGAGCAATTATATTAAAACATTTATAATAGAACAAATAACACATCAAACAAACAACTATCTGACTATGTTCAGTAAAAATCTTAGCTAATTACATAATTCATCATTCTAGAAACCTGTTTTTTTTTTGCTATTTTTCAAAAATTTGAAACTAGGTCCATTGTTTTATTTTATTTTAAAGGGTTTTTACAAAATAATAGCTACATTATTCAACCAATCCAAAATTTTAAATTTCATGGGTGCAGAGATAACACTGTATATAACCTTGATCTAGTAGTTTGTCAGAAATATTCATCAGCAGAGTTGGTATAACTATTTATTTAAATTTTCTCTTGTAAAATTGCAAATTTTAATTTGATTTACTTCTGTATTTTTACACCTTAGTCAGGTTGAAGGTTGGTCCCTTTTACCTCACTCACGTGTAAGCTTTTATAGAGGTTATATAAAAAACTGTTGAATCTAACTTAAAATTGATAATACATTGTATAAAACAATTAAATAAAGTTTACTTAAAAATTATATAAAGGTCTGAAAAACTAAGAAACATTTATTATTTATCAGCTATTCATTTATTATTTATCAGCAGAATTAAAGCTTTATAGTGCTATTATTCTTATTAGACAGACAATGATGAAATTATTTTTATATTTCAAAAGAATATTCCAAAATCAGCCCAATTGAATTTTTTTTTGTATTAATTTACTTATATCAATCAAAATTTTAATAAAAAAATAATAGAGAAATGATCATAATAAAAAGTAGATTTAGAAAAGTCACTTTTTTTTAACAAAAATCATGTTTGTTTCTTATCTCTATCAAATAGTTGCATTCTGAAACATGAAACACATCGCAAGGAATCCTTTCTAGAACTCATATTTTAGAAAAATATTGTTATTAAGTACTAGTTGGTACCCATTTTTCTAATTATATGAGAATTCTAGATAATCATTTAAGCAACATACGCCTATTTTATTGGCAATTTGTTTCTACTTTATTTTCCATTTTTTGTCTCTACAATTTTTACGCCTATTAAATATATCAATTGTTATGCAGTTTATAATAAAAACATATCTACTATTTTATCCAAAGTTCGGAATCGAAAATTTAGTGTTTCATACATTAATAATGCAAAATCTTCCATGGTGAATAGGATACTTTGAGGTACTTACTCCAAGAAAAAAAAATGTAATGGGTTGGTGGATCCATTTCTTCGAAAACGACAGAAAAATCTATAGATTTTATATAACAAATTTTATGGAAATTTTCCAAGAAATTCTAATATAGTTCGATATTTTTAGATGGGAGTTGCTAATGAAAAAGACTTTTAAAATAAGGTAGTACTTCGAAAAAACTTTTTTCTGATAAAGTTTTATATTCGTATTTATAGTCATAAACGAAAGACATCAATTTCATAGTTGGTTTTTAGTCAATTATTAAGTAATTTTTACAATTTTTAGTAAATTTTACAATTGTCCTAAAAATGAACAACAAATGGACAAATAAAAACAAAATCTTCATGTTACTTAACATATGTTGAAGTAACATGAATTTCTTTTTTAATCTTGCCCTGAGAGTATTTATGAAATATGACATTTTTTGTTTCATTAACGATCTTGATAAAAACTTATATTAGAGAAGTTCAGTTTATATTTATATTTCAAATAAGTGTATGTTGTCTCACATTACCAAGAATTTTTTCTGGAATTTATATACGTAAGCATTTTCAGATATATATATATATATATATATATATATATATATATGTAATTTATTTTGTGTAATGCAATCTCCATTCGTCGCAACTTCTTTGATAAGGAATTGCATTCAAGAAAAGCCAGTTTCAATGTTATATCCACTCTAGAGCAATAAAATGTAAAGTACTCGGGATCAAATATTAATCTACAAATTTATTATACCTTATTAATATTGCAAAACACATAAACACCTATTAATCTTGACAGCTGTCCGAGAAAATCTCATTGATAAATTAATGATATCAATTATAAATTTTTATTTAAAAAAAAAAGATCTTAGTTTCATCTCTTTATTTTCTAGAAAAAGGTCTTTTGTATCATGTCTTACGTAGGCAATATGTATTGTTGTAATTAGTGATGGTTACATTATAATTACTTTTATCCACAAAAAAATTGCCAATAGATTAGGCAAATGTTGTATTTGCTTAGATAGTTATCTAGAATTAACAAGAATAAGTGGATAATGATAGTAAATACATAAAAAATAATTGCAAATGTAAAATATGATATTAAAAAATACAGGTATTCATTAATCAATTTTTGATTATTATTTACCAAAAATATAAGTTGAAAATTTGCCAAAATTAGTATTTACCCTACGAGGAGTTAATAAAGCAATGACACTGATGATGAGCAAAAATAATTTAATACCGCTCCAGAGAGAAAGAAACTGTTTTTTTTTCTTAGCATATATTTATGCATTTTTTTCTGGTTTTTATGCATTTAAAGAGTTTATTTTCAATAAAATATCTCTTTTTTATTTTTTGTTATTTTATTTAGGATCGTATGACCATTTAGAGAGAGAAATGTAGGTCTATATTTTTGTAAATCCATATAGATCCAACCTAATAGACATTTTTTTGACTATTTACTCTATTAAAGTTGATTTTGGTTTTCGTTGTTCTTCAAAGATTA